CCTGGGGTTCTCCTGACATGTGTCTCCGTCTGTGCACAGTTTTCCGACACACTTCAGTTTGTGTGCTCAGGTCTTTGAACTCCTCTAAGTTTGCAGAAGTCTTTTCTTTCTTCTTTTTTTTTTTTGCAATGACAGATTTCAGCTTTCTCCAAAGGTATTCAGCGGGGGTTTAGGTCAGGATTTATTACAGGACAGTGTGAAACCGTCCATCTTGTTTTCCAGTTTAGCTTTTCTTTGGGCTGTTGGACGTGTGCTTTTAGTAGCTGTCCTGCCGAGAGACCGATGACTTTTGCCTCAGACCAAGTTTTCGGACCCCGGGTAACAAATTCCCTCTAAAATGCTTTCGTAATTATTCCTCTTGAACATTTAACTCCTCCACGCCGGAAGGCAACAAAGAATAACCGCACCTTGATAGAACCATCACCCATTTTTAAGAGGTATTTCATTGCCCATTTTGTCACCTTTAAACAAACTGATACATCCCATTCACAAAGAGTTACTCTGAGCTTTCTTCTCTCAATGCACCACTATCGTAGACAGCTCTGTGAAAGGCTTGAAAACACTCCTGCGTTTTCTATGGCTCTCCTTTCACAGCAGGGCTCTCCCTGGCCTTCGGAGCGCTTCTTGGTACAGCGTACAGTTTAAGTAATAGAATGAAATCACCACTCAGGGTGACTCCAGGTCACACTGAAGATCTTCCCATTTTTTGGTGTGGCTATTCCCACACCCCGCACTAACCTCTGCAGGTTCTGTTTGCAGGGCTTGATCCGTTCACTTCTTCATTCATTCAGGGTTGCAAGAACTAAACCAGCTGTTTTCATATTTTTCATAATAGTATTTGCTTACAGACAGTCCTCTGTACACAAAATAACAACACAAAAACCATTGTTTCATACATGTCATGTAACCTCGAAAAGTATTTTTCATTTTTATGAAAATTATTAATAAAATTTGGACACAATTTTGCTAATCACGGAGGGCTCATACATGAATTGCCATATATATATATACACACACATACATGCATATTTATATATATATATATACACACATACATGAGCATACAGCTTACTGCTGTTCACAGCATTAAATTGTTTATAGATGTTGTTTCTTTCATTTGCATGAAAACCTTTTTAGAAATCATAATATCCACTCCCAAATCATAAAAGGGTGCTGTGAAGCATAAAATGTAAAAAACCTCCTGGTGAAAATGAAAATTTCAGTTTTGTGAAAAATGTTCCTCCATTTTGGATTTCATGAAGGGAATGTTGTCTCATTCTTTTCTGATAAAGGACTACAGATGGTAGATATGCCCAAATATTTCCTCTATGAAGCTACACTGTTGTAATCAAGGCACCATGTAGTGTATCTTAATCCCAAAAAGGAAAGATTTTAAGACTCAGAAACACATTATTTAGTCAGGACGATGGACTCCTACAGAAGAGGAAAGCATTATGATTAAAATAAGATGGCCATGGGAAGAAGCGGTAAATAATTTGGTGATGTTGTGATATTTTTTAATATGCAACACTTGAAAATTATTGGAATATAAATACAGAACTGAGTTTTGGTTTGTCTGAAATGTGTTTGGGCTTTTGTTTGCACAGTGGTCTCAGTTTAAATTAGATGTTCTGTCTTTTGATACTAGAGAAATGAAGCATCCTCTGGCAGTTACTGTCATATTTACTCATGCTGTTTAATCGCAGCGTGGATGACATCTTTATGGTAGAAGCCTAATTAATATATGAAGTGTGAAGTATGAATGAAGTTCAGTCAGTTCAGAAATTTGTAGGTCGAAGAGAATAATTAAAAAATACATTAAGTGAAACTTGCGCCTTTTTGTGCCGTCCTAGTGTAATGTGATTGGAAGCGCAATAGCGATAATGGAATTATGATGCATCACTAATAATGAGTGATGATATACTTCTAAACAAACTGTGGAACAAATGGAATTTTCAGCTGCGTTATTCGGTGTTGCACATTAGCTGCGAGTATTCCGATGTGTTCAATGTTTCTAAGATGCTAGTGTTTATATTTATGAGCCAAAGGGGCTCATTTGGCTCAGTCCGTCAGAGCAATTTGACATTAACTTCCTCACTGAACCAGCCATTAGTCCACAGCTCTGGCAAAGTCTTGGGTTTAATAAAAGAGGGTGTCAAAAGAGATCACCGTGTGTCATTCTGGACTCGCATCCTATTGAATGCCGTCATAGCTGACTACTTTTGACCCAAGCAAATAAAACTCCTCTATCTCAGCGATGATCTCACTCAAAAGTACATAGACTTTTAAAATTACAAGGTGACATAAGAGCATCCCTTTAGGTTGCCGGCTGAAGAATTACAATCAATACAAGCTGTTAAGACCTAGAAGCTTCCGCTGGATCAAACGGGCTGCAGAGGTGAGAGATAGACTTCAGGGCTTTATAAGTCTGCGGAAAAGGTGTAAAATCAATTTGCAGCGGCTGAAAGATGATATTTTCTAACAGTATTTCCTGTAACTATAATGTGGTCATGGGCCTACTGAGCTAGTTAGGTGGTGGGAGTAGCCAAATTACCATGTCTACCAAGAGAGGATGTCATAAAACGATCATACAATTACCTTAATGGCACCGGAACACCCAAGCATGAATCAATGTTTCTGGCATTAGATAAAAAGCTATTGACTGACTTGTTCGCAAGTCACGTGAGGGTGAGCCGACACAGCAGCTGGATGTTGAAAAAGTCCGGATTTTAACACGGTAGATGGGCATTTCCCACAGGATCATGACAACATTCTGCAGAATCCTGCCAAAAAGGTGGTTTCTCTAACTGGTGTGGAGGTATTATGCTCCTGCTTGTCTCTCATGTCAGTTTTTATCATGTTTTTATCTATGGATTCCCACTTCGATAGAGCGGGTAGGTAGGTAGCAGGAATGCAGGGTTTGGTACCAGAAAGTGTAAGAACCGTGGCAGTATTTCTTTCTCTCTCTTTCCACTAAAGAGAAGGTAGCATTAAATGGAGTGATTTTAAGTCCTCCGTGAGGAGCAGACTGTGATTAGGAGCTTAACTCAGCGGCATTCCGCCTCTCCCACTCGGCGCCTCCGTCTCCGCCTCAGCTGCCGCCTCTCAGACGCGCACGCCTCTCCGTGCCAAAGCCGCGCGGCTCCTGCAGCTTCCTCTTGGCAGCCCGAGTTACAGTCAGAAGAAACGGAGGCAAAAAACAGAAAATCCCAGATTAAAAGAGATGTGGCCGAAGGGGCCGATGCCACTTCCTGCACAAATAAAGCTTCTAAAGCATCGCGGCGTGAACAGCGAGCAGAGATGACCTCAGGGGGCAGCCCGGTCCACTCTTCCGGGGTCTGAGTGGAAACGCCGGGTCAGCTCGTTAGGCATCAGAGATTGACCTCACCACTGGTCTGCTGAGTGGGAACACCGGGGGTGGACCGAGTCCTCTCCATTTATCTCCTTCATTCCCCTTCTTCCCTCCCCTCTGACGCACGCAGAGAAATCGCTCGCTATCTTGGTTAATAGACAAGCCGCATTCTGACGGTCCGTGTTGTTTAAAGAGTCTCGGCACGCTCCGTTTCACTGCCCTTTCTGCCATTTTGAAAGATGAAACAGAACAGGTTTGGCAGTCCGCCCGAAGGGAGGCGTGAGGTGGTTGGGTTAAACGATTAATAGGAGATACTAAAGCAGAGTGGGCAACCGACTTTTTACACTGGAGAAATAACAGTTAAACAGACCAATTAATGCCATTTTTCCACCACAGTAGCTTGTCAGTGCTCTTTTTTTTTTTTAAATCAGGATTTATGCTTTTGATTTTCACAAATTTAACAGATCACAACCCAGAAGAAAATTTAAGCAAGAAGTTTGAAATGTGTTATCAATCTGCCAGAAGTTAAGTTAAAAAAATGAAGAAAAAGAAAAGTGCGTTTGTGAAAAGCAGTAATCTGATGGCAGAGCTAGCCGCTCACCACATTTATTGGCCTGCATCAGGAAGTAAGTGACTTAAATTACACACCTGTCTCTATCTAGGACACATATATTTTCTCGTGCACAGTATTTCTCTTCAACAGCTTATTCAGCAAATCTCCAAGGCAGATCATTGTGGGCTGTTGTCGTGATCTTTCCTCGCCTAAAAAGGCCCTCGCACAAATTTGCTATATATTACAAGCAGAGGACAGAAATCTCTTGGCTACATAATGATTCACAGCAAAAAAAAAAAAAAAAAAAAAAAAGAACGCTTCTTGTCCTGCAATACTAAAAGGTCCTTTTAGATCCAAAGCCTGCAAAGACTTAAGGAAAGGAAAAGAGACATGATTCCAGACTCCGTTTAGGAGGCATTAGGGTAGGACAGGGTTGAGGATGGCTTCCATGCCAGAGCTCATATAATACCTTGGGGGATTTCATCATGTATGCTTTGAAGTGTGGAATGACAAACTGGAAAGGGGGTTTGTGCTGCATCAGGGTTAGCTTTTTCCTCTTTTTTTTTGAGAGGATTAGCTTCTGTGTCTTAACTGAGGAAATAGCAAAGCTTGCTCACCCCTAATGCACTCCCCCCCCCCCCATTTTCCTAGTTTACATAGATCACAGAGATCATCACCATTACACATTTACTTATGCTTGTCTTGTTCTCTTTCTAAAGAGGTGCAATTAAGCCTCGGAATCCATTAATCGTGTTATAGGTTCCTCACCTCCTTGCCATCTGTTGAAATTGCACTGTGTAGGGTCACAGGGGTGTACACTTGTTTACTCGGCTAGCGGGTGTATTTGGGAGCATGTTGTGCGTGTTCCTCTTACTCGCAGCGCCATCCATCTTCCCTGCTGATGGAGGGATAAGAGAGCAGCCCCGTTGCATCCAGCTACCAAACGGAAGTGACTGCACGTGCAGAAAAAATGAGCCTGCGGAGTGGCATTGTTGGCAGTCGACAATACGCAGTCTTCACGCTACATTTGTAGTTTTGTCCGCAGGATGAGTTATTTATGCACATAACGACTGCACACCCTTCCATCCGGGATGAATGAAAGAGTTCAGTGCGAAGGCTGTGGCGGCGCAGCGCACGGCAGATAAGACAGTAAGTTATGAAATATGGATTTGAAAGAAGAAGGACGGCGTGAAAAGGTGGCCTTTCCCTGAAGCGATGCCTTTTTTTTATGATTTATTTCCTCTCCCCCACAGACTGTTTTTTTTCCTTTCCTTTTTTTGTTTTTATAATTTTTGGAGCTAGAGTCATCAAGTTGACACCTTGCGTAATGTTTCTCCTTCTGTTTTTCCGTGAAGGTCGCCCGCTACCTTTCAGAGCAGCAAAATATCAGCCACTTCTCTGATTTGTTGAGAACTGAAGCCACAGCATGGATGAAAAGCTTGTTCTCACCTCGCATCCACCAGTGCGTAGCGGCTCGGTTTCTAACTCGCAAACGGAAAAATCGCAGTCTGTTTTCAGACAATACATCCATTCCTCTCAGACCTTTAAAAAAATCTCTTTTTTTCTTATGATTGCGACACCTTTGGCACATCCAAATTGTGCATTTATTTGTATTTTATTGTTATCGGTGTGGATTTGATGACAGTTGCAAGTCCCCGGTGGCTCTTCTGGTCACCGTGACTCGGCTTAGCAAAACCAAACTCCAGACGCACCAAAACTTGTCCCTGTCAGAAATACGCGGGTCGGCGGCAGCATGCAATCTAACTCCGCTTAAGATCCCCCATCAAAAAGGACCCCTCTTCGAGGTCAGGGCAAAAGTCAAACGTTGGCATTCACTCACAACCACTCCAAGGGAGGTGTGACAGTTTCCAGGAATCTTGGCTAATGTAGCCGGAGTGTACAGAGGTCAGTCTTTCTCTGCAGATTTGAATCTATTCTCTGCTAATGCCTAGCAACATCAGCAGCCAAGTTTATTGAACTTAAGTAATGCTTTGAAAGAGCTTTGAAGAATAAAGCGGCAACTCCTGGCTGCTCACCACCCCTTTGTGATGAATTTAAGTCCTATGTCAGCAGCAGAAGGGAGGAATGGAAATGTGGTGAGTGAGCACTCCTCAGACAAATCCTGACATGTGCAAGTTGCTAACGGGAGACTGCTAAGAGTGTCTTTTCATAAGTTTCACAAGCTCACAAGAGTAGACTACAAAAAATCTTTGTCAAATAAATCAGGCATTTGTCTAGAGTTCCGTTTCCTCATCATTGAAAAGGACCTTGTCTTGTTTCCATTTCCTTAAATGGCAGATGTAAGATTTAAACCTGAAAGAAGTTCTTATGAAGAGCTGCCAGCTTCTCCAACAGCAACGCACGTTGTAAGACAAAACTGTGCACTGAGCTACACTTAGGCTAAACTACAAGTACTGATGGATTAGATATAATTAAATCGTTCCTCTTCTGATTTACGTAATCATATATCCCTCTCTCTCCTTCGTTGCTCTCTTGGCCAGTAGGGAAGAACATTGGGCTAATTTGTCTATTAAAAGGAGTGTCACACCCACTGGTTGACGGTGAGGTAATCTGTGAAGGGCTTGGTCTGTAGCTGTGACAGTTAGCATAGTCATTAAAGGAAATGATGGACACACCAGCCTTGTCTCAGAGTAGAGTTCTGACTCTATAGCTAAAGGGTTTCAGCTCGCTCTATACTTGTCAAGATAGCAGGAATGAACAAATTCTGGTCCAGGAAGAGAAATTCTGCAAATTGGCTAAATGTGCTAGATTGGCCACATTCTTCCTGATTGATTATGCATCAATATGGGGATAGTGATATGCAGAAACCACATTAGTCTGGCATGAATGGGATAAAAACCCTGTCTCCTGTTTGATTTTTTTGTGTCAGAGGTGGTATCTTCTCTTCTCTCCTTAGTCTCAGCTCTGTTAATTAGTCTTCCTCCTACTTACTTGGAAGACACTAAATACAACCACTACAAGTGCTGCTTAGATGTTTAAATGTTTGTTTGTCTGGACATGATTAAGGATGCATTTGTGTTTTTAAATTTCCACTCATTTCTGAATTTGGTCAAACTCTGAGTGGGCTATTTTTATTCACGTTATTCTGGAATAGGGTTGATTTCCTTTCCAAGTAATTGCGATTCAGCGAGATAGTTGTTTTTTTTCCACTTCTGTCAAGATATTATTGGGCTCTTGAGCTGATCCATCCAAATCTGACGAGGTAAGAGTAGAACAATAAAACCTTGTCTTGATCTATTGGCTTGTTCTGAAGTGTGAGGCTTGAACAATCATATTGGCATTTTTTGAAGCGGTTATGATTTGGGATTTTCGCACGTAATACCAGCCAGGCTGTTGTAGAATCAGAATCAAAGGGGGCAGTTTAAAATTCAGAAGGTGCTCTCTGATGGGCAGAGAGTCCCTGGCAAACGGAGCCGTCCCCGCCACGTGGCGAGGACAGAGCTGGCTCCAGTGCCCCCTTTTGTTCAGCATTCCCTGCCATCCGATATTAAGGATTATAGAAAGCCTTGTCCACTTTAATGCTCAGGGTTTCATCTCGGACTTCGTATCGGCAAACCATTGTGTCAGTTTCTGTCTCTGAGGCTGGCAGAGAACACTCATCCGAGGCTTAGCACGCAGACGTCTCCCGCTCCTGGGAAAACAGTCGGGAAGATGAAGGAAGTGACGAACTGTAGCGCCCAACTTTTGGCCCCTCGGTCCCGTCTTTAAACCCATTACTGCCGGGGCAGGACACTGCTTTCATCTCCACTTGGAACTGTCGTGGCCGTAGGAGCCAGTGACGACGCTACATGGGGATCAGGGTGTCTGTGAAGACGGGGGCATAGCAACGGAGTGAATTTGCATCACATTTGTTAGCTTGCGTTGCAACGGCTCAGCTAGGAGCAGTGAAGGGCATGAGGAGAAAAAAAAAAAAAATCTGTGGAGTCCTGAATATGAGTTTCTAATGTCCTACCAATGTCAGGCTGATGCTCGGAGCAGTGATATGCAAAAGCACTCTCCAACCATTCCACTTATTGCTGATATGATCTGTAGCATAGCCAGGGGAGACAGGGAATCGTTACTGTACAGACAGTGCTTATTAAATTGTAGGAGATGTCCAGAGGGCTTTTAATAATAAGATGATAGTCATATGAATTTTTCTGTGTGTCATAACCACCTCTAAAGGCCCTGCTACTCTCCTGTGAAGGGTTAAAACTCTGGCTTGCCCATTCAGCTTCCAAATGCAGATGGTTTAATCTTATTGTCTTAAAATGACTTTGAATACTCAGAGTATAATTCAGGCCTGCAAGCACAGCAGGTGGTTGGCCCTTTGATCTCTTTCCTAGCAACACAGGCGGAATTTAAATCACAGGGTGACATCTAGTGCATGAAATCATGGCGTGAAATGCAAGTTTCAGTTCGGATCCTCCTGTCCTTTTGTATAAGGTTCAATGGAGACTATGGTTTATTAGAAAATAGATAATTAACAAAAATAGCTTTTCCAGAGTGTGCAAGCCCAGAAAGGATGTGGGTTACTGTACTGTATGTGACGAATGCTTTACAGAATACCCTGGAAGTGATATGGTACTGGGTCTAAGATGTTTTATTTGAGCAAGGATACATGTTTTCATTTCAATTTTGCTGTACCATGTTTAATTGGAAAAACCATATAAATGCTTTGTAAAATGGACTGGTGGTACAATTGCAAGTTTAATACCAGTAAAAGGTAAATACATTTGAATTATTATAATTATGTATTCAGGCATCGCGATTGCAATACTATGGCATCCATCTCCTCCCAGGAGCCTCTGAACTTGCACTTGGGTAGTCCAAGGTATTTAACCTCTTGTGGGGTCTTTAAACATTTGGAAATTTGCACAGGTCTTACTGAGTTGTGGACCCACCCATCCATCACTTGTTGTCATCAGTGTGGTTTACCCAGATGGCCATCATGGACCATAAAATCCAAGCGTGAATGGAGGTGAAGCTTCCTGGCAGTGGTGGTTAAAGCCCATCAGCACCACCTCCCACCATTCCTCTTGAATCTGAATTAAATTTCCTCAAGGGCCAAAAGAGAAGGAATTCTGCTGCTTTCCGAGTAAACTGTTTGTTTATATATATATTTGAGAACATTTTAGTCACCGTGCCTCAGCCCAACCCCGATGAGTTAAAAATAGCTCAGGTTCTCATATTTCTATATTGTCCCAGTGCAATTCCAGTTCCAGCGTTACTCTTTTGGGAAATTATATATTATGATTAAGCACTTTTCAGACACTGCCATCATTCATCATCATCACTTCGTTATCTTAGACAAATATCATACAGCACATAAGGGATTTTGACTGTTTATTCACACAGATGATTTCTAATACGTAAGTATTTTGTATGCAATAAGCATTCTTAAAGATTCAGCGTTACGCATTTTTTGGTGCATGGTAAATGTCTCTGCGGCTATAAGGGCCAAAGATCACATCAACAAGAGTTCACCTCCTCCACGGAGCACTTCTCCTGAAATGCTCGACCGGATTGTCTCACCTTATGTCAAGACAACACCATGGAAATGCATTTGCATAATGACTGGAGTGTGACAAGTTTGAAACACCTTAAACAAAGAAAGACAGCTGGCTAGAACGCTGCGGTCTCTGAAAAATCACAAATCAGTCTGAGGAGGTGGGAGCCTGAAAGCATTGGGGATAAATATTAGGTGAAGAGATTTATCTGTAAATATGTTTAATATGATGGCGCATGTTTCCACTCTGTGCTTGGTTTTTTCATTAGCCTTTTTACCTCTCTTTTTCATTCTGTGTTTTATCTCGTTAGGCTTCAAACTATGATTATCACTTAAATGACCTGTATTGGACAGGATGGCATCCTATAATAGCGGTTTTGGAAGAAGTTCATGTTGATGTCCATCAGGACTGAGAGTTTTATTTAATTCAAAGAGAAGCTAAGAGCTGAACTCAAGGCGTGTCTTTAGAAAACAGATGTTTCAACTCTTCTCCCAACTGGCTTCAGCATACGATTGATTTTTACTTTGTTGCACTTTTCGCAACAGGCTACATTATGTTGCTCTGACTGGTTAAAGATAGTTTGGGCTACACGGTGATAGGCAGATGGTCCATCCACTCACCTGCCAAATATTTTTTGAAAGCACTTGCCCTTTTTCAAACTGTTCCTCACAAAAAACTTTCCAGATGGGTGCGTGAAACAAACCATCTGCTACAAATGTGTTATAGAGGACACACAGAGGAGTGACACGTTGGAGGAAAAAAAATTAATGTTTGGGCTCGGGAGGAATTTGTGTATCTGTTGTTATGGGAGCAGCATTTCAGATATGGTTTGTGTCATCCTTTCTTCCTAAAACAGAAGGGTCACCGTGAATAGATGACTATTATTCTTAGCAACGGTTTCTATGCCTGTCCGAGTAAAGAGAATCTTTTGGAATGCGGGGGCTCTTTTCTCCTCCAGCGTAGTTCCAGTGACCTGCGGAATTACTGCCAAGATGCAGTGAAGACTTTTTCTTCTGGCATCAAAAGACCACAGTGCCTGACAAATGCACTTCAGATTAGTTTGTCCATCAATGTGTTACTCGTTTTCACTTGTCAGAGCAGCACAACCTATATTGAAATCTAAAGGCTGAATAAAACAAAGCAGGGCTGAAAATGTAATCTTTTTCCATAAACGTTTATCCACTTTAGTAGAATCTGTATTTCTTGGTAACCTGAGCAGCATCTTGCAAAAATATCTCCTGTTAGGAGCTTGTTTAGTTTGCAGTACCTGCAGCAGAGCTGCGGATGTAAGTAATTTTAGGTTCACTGGTGATTCAGTTTGTGGCTGTCCTCTTTGTAGCCTAAGGCAGTGGGTTTGGAGGTGGGAGGGGTGCCAGCACCAGTCAATTACCAGTTAATAAACAGTGGAAGTTTTCTATTAGTGCTTGTTAGCCCGTGTAAAAGATTGTTGGTATGTGCAATTGAGGGAAGGCACTGTGACTATGGAATTAGAAATAAAAAAAATAAAAAAAACTCACCGGCATAATTTCTTTCCCTGGGTCTAATATACAGCATCCAGTTCTCTGAATGGCTCCCATTTACTGAGATAATATTTTTTATTAGATTTTCACCAGCTTATCCATTGCATTATAAAGCAGCTGCAAACACATTTCTTATTTTTTGAACAGTACAGAAATGTGTGGTCAGGAGTTTCACATGGGCAATATTTCCTAAACGACTATAAAGCTCTCTTTTCAATAAAGCGGATATATTTCATGAACAAGGAAGAGGCCAAACGATGCGGCTCTAGTGGCAGTGTGTCTTGTCATCGATGGCATTATGAGCCCCGAGTGAGTAGGATACACGGATACTTTTTTTGGTAAGCAGATGTCAAAGATGATATGAGTGTTGCATTCTCCACTTATCAGAAAGCAAATACCATAGTGCTTACAGAGGGAAAACTGCTTTAAGGAAAATATAGTGCACCTTAGTTGCCCGGGGAAGTACAACGACACTAATTGGAGTTGGGGAAGCGGTCTTTACCGAGGGGACACCGCTCTGACAGTGTGACAGCCAGAAGCATGAATCATTGAAAGCCTTTCCTGTCATATTTAGACCTCTTCTAATAACTATTACAACTTGCTGTTGCTGACAAACTGCACGAGAGGTATAACTATGTAATTCTGTGTAAATATCCATGAAAAACAACTTGGAAAAAAAACAAAACTAGTTGCATAGAGTTACAAAACATAGTCTCATTGTTTGTCCTACGAGCATGTCATGAAGTTACACGTCTTTTTAATTTGTCTTGGCAGAGTAGTAATTGATGCCTGCGTACGAACTGTTTCCCCTCCGGAGCAATCAGATGGGCTCGCACCCTCTGAGGGTGAGGGCTGGGGAGGGGGGCCTCTGTCAACCGCTGGGCTGCTGATAACCAGCAGCTGGGGGGACCCAACTCCCATCCCATCAACACATCTCCCCCTTAATTAGTTCACGTATTTATTTCCTCCCTTTTTCTGCTCATTCTCCCCGAAGTCTTCCATCAACGTTCTCACAGGCTCACCTTGTTCTCTCTCCTCCGTCACCAACGCCGGGGATGAAATATTTTGCCTTTCCGTCCACATGCACACGCAGACTTCTTCCACAATGAGCCTCACTATAGAAAGTCATTGATTTTTAAGTGGGACCACACTGATGCCGTTTTAGCTCCGGGGTTGTCAGTGATATATAGGTGTTGCTACAGGCCCAGTTTTTCCTTTGTGCCTGTCGATGTCATTTGCAAATTCACAGGTGTAAATTATCTCTCAGGCCTTGTTGTAATGCCCACCCGCGCTCCCTTCCATTGGCTGTTTAAAGAAGTTCAATAAGTGGACCGGCGGTTTACCGTACTGGTTACAGTCGCACTTTGCATTCTGATGGAAGAAGATTGGCTCCTTTTTTTTTTCCTGATTCGTTTAGAGAGTTTTTGTGCAAAGAAATTAAAGCATTTATGTCAAAATTATTATTTGTCTCTTGCAAGTGATTGCATGACTGTGCACATTTAATGAACTGTCCTATGTAGAAAAAAAAAAGCAACTGTCAGGCATACGGTTGATCGTTTGTATTAGCAGCTGCTTATTAGTATTACATTATAGCAAAACGTTATCTTAATTTTTTTTCTCCTGTAAATATGCTTCATTTAACAGGCAGCTGTTTATTTAAGTGATCCCAGAACAAATCCCAGCTACCGAATTCAGTGTGAAGTGGTGGTGAGAGGGCTTTAACGTGGAGAGATCCCATAGGCATTGTCAGCCTGACACTAACATACAAAACTATCAGCCCCTGTGAAGATTGGCCTACAATGCCGGCTAATCCCAGGTGACTGATAAAGTCCATCCACCAGCAAACTGCCAGCACAAACCCACTACAGTGTTTCAGTCGCCCGCCCCCCCAACACACACACACACACACACACACACACACACACACACACGCTGCAGCACTCTTGTCTTCTAACCGCTGGGTCTTTCCATATGGACACCATTTATGGCTGCCTTTTAATTGCCTATCAAAAAACATTTCACAGCACGTAATGGGGGAAGAGAGGGAATCAGGACACAAAAGTCAAAGACATAAGAAAAAAGAGCAGGCATTAAAAAAAAGAGATGGAAAACTGATTGATAGAGAGGACGAGCGAGGCGTCTGCGGAATGAATTTGAATAAAAGACACAGACACAGACACGCAGAGTGGAGCGTTGGTTTTGCAGAGCCGTGATCTAGTCCGGCTTCTTTTTTTTTTTGTGTGTGTTTACAAACACCTGCAACAGGAGAAAAAAAAAGGGGGGAGGGTCTTTGCCAGAAGTGGCGATAAATTGCCGGTGACGGATGTCTGCTGGCATGGAGGACGACAGCTAAAGACGTGGCGCTCTCGCCTCTGATGCTGCCCCTCACTCTTTCCCTTCTCAGACTCGCCGACTCCACCCATTTCAGCCCCTTCATCATCGCAATCACGCCACATAAGTCGCTCCCTCCTCTGCCTCGAGGCTCGCCATGTTTCTGTGTAATCTTTGTTCTCAAACAGAGGGACATCATTGCTTAGAAGAGCACAGTTTTGATGAACTGTCATCCAAAGCTTCGTGGTAATCATGTCGGTCTCAGTCACTATAATAAGATGTGTTTGGTGGCTTCCTCATTGTGAAAGATCTCAACTTTCTTTTGATAGGTACTGATAAAAGATCAACCGAGAGCAATTGTGGCTCAAAACTCTGGTCCTCGAGGCCCACTTTCCCACACGTTTTTCCTGCTCCAGCTCACCTGATTTAAAAGAGTCCACATCAGTTTCTGCAGAGCTGAGTCGTTTATTTAAATCAGGCATGCTGGAGCAGGGAAACTTGGAAAAAAACATGCAGAACGGTGTGCCTCAAGGTCCATGTTTGGTAAACACTGCCTCAACATCCTTATTCCCCTTTGTATTAAACAGAAATTACCAATGACCGATATTCACTCGGCGCTTTCTCCTTCATATAGGGCTTTAAAAGCTGTCGACTTTTAATTGGATAAAACCGCAACGCCTTTTTCTCACATGAGGTTATCACGCATTAGCTGATTTTACTTATTCAACATCACATTAGTCCAAATGTGGTCGAAAAAGACTGACTGCACTTGGGCAAAATGTTCAACTTTTCAAGTTCAAAACGGCGTTTGGCCAAAGTATTTGGAGATGTCTCAGTGGTCATGCTCGTCTTTCCTTGGACTGCAGTCAGGGAGCAGAATAACTTAAAGAAGATTTCAGCTTCCTTTGGATAGTCTCTGGAAAACAACTCAATAGGAAATATATTTAAAGAGCAGAACATTTATTAAGACATTTTGGGGTTACTAGCTATAATGTGTTTACAGATAGAAAAAAGCAGATAAAAAACACAGCCCTGAATAAAGACTCGGTGGGCAGTCTGTTAAATTGTAATAGAAAAATTGCGAGATTGGATTGTTTGTTGGGGTTTTGTGCTGGCCAGAAAACTGTAGTATTTTTCCTTGATTAATTGACTCTGCATTATATAGTTTATAAGACAATTAAAGAAAGCTCTCTCCTCCAAATCTGAAAAGACTTTGGGTGGAAAAGTCGGTGGCATATTGGCTGAAAAAAGATAAAAATGCTTATTTTGATGCATCTCTTGCATATATACCCTCCCAAAAATCTGAAATCTATTTAGATAAGAAATTAAATGTCTGAAGCTATTTTAAAAATGAATTTCATAAACATTCAGTAAGTAACTGACGCCAAAACCTCCTCATGATACTAAATGTTTTGTTTTTGTGTGTGTGTGAGTATGTGTTTCATCACTGCTGTGGGTTAATTTTTCCCCTGGTTTTCTTCTCCTAAAGCTGGAAACTGCCCTCCACAATCCTGTTCACTGTGCACTGCTGGGCTTCTCTGCAGCGAGTACTTCTTTACCTCAAGGCTACCTCTGGGTAAGTTATTTTACTTCCAGTAGATGTCTTATATGTGTATTTACTATATATAGGGGGAAGTGTACAGTGTATTATAGACATCCATTCAGTAAAGCCGATGTCAGCCGAAGCCAAACAACGTCAAAGGAAACACATTTTTACTGGTATTCACGGATAGCTTTGAACACAATAATTGCAACCATTTCAACACTTGAAAGAAAACAGAAAACTGTATCTCTAAGCTCAGGGTTAGATTAGGTTACTGGCTATTTTTCTCTGCTAAATGTCTCATGAAAGCTGTACATTTGTTCAGCACAAGGGCCACTAGCAAGCAACTGCTGTGCAGTGTTTCATGATGAGCGGAACAAATTGTTCCACCAGACTATCACATCCCTAACCGAGGACTTCTGAGAATTTAGTTCGATCTAGAAATTGGGAGTAAAAAAAAAATATGCTTAGAATCTGCTATTAATCTCAAAGTTTGAATTGTTCTCACTTCTTTTTGGAGAGGCTGTGTAATTTATCAGGTAGACCTTTTTTTCTGGCCTAAATGGTGGTTCAATCAAGTGCAGGCCCTTCAGAACCACGAGTACAGCTCAGTGTCAGACTTAATTACATATCTGATGCTGCTCAGAAGAAGGCTATATCCTCACTCGGATAAGGGGAAGAGAGATGAAGTGGCATTAACATTTCCAGCCCGGCGATATGGTTGTTTCTCGAGGCGGTGGAAGCTCCGTCTCTCCCAGCTGAAACACGCACCCACACACGGTGAAAAGAACGGGCACGAATTCCGACAAAAAAAACAGCTGCCTGTTTAAAACCTGTTAAACCGTTTTGTTGTTTTTTTCTTTGAATTGTTTTGACATCTCTCCTGGACAGAGTCGATGCTTTCTCATTTTGACAACTCAGTCGAAATATTTTCAGTGGCACGAGTCAAGTTTTGTTTTGCTCTCGCTTGATGAAAGTGAAACAAAACAGATAAATAAATTGAAATCACCGAAGACAGATTTTTCATCGTTACCTCTTTGCAATGGAATTAGTCAGGCTTTGGGGAACAGAGGCTCGCTCGGTAAAAATACAAATAAACCTCTGAATTGTAAACACAACGGTGGGCTAAAGACTTGATTTTCCAGATAATTGGAGGTACTTGTTGCTACTCTAACTTGACAGCCCTTGGGGTGGTCAGACCATTGTAATTACAGCTTTTTATAAGGACCTCTTGTAAACCTCACCCAAGGGCTCTGTTGTTTGAACTAAAATCTCAAAAGCGAATGGGTTTAAGGCACATTTCTGCCGACTGTGGCCAGAACGACTACGGCATCCCGAGTTCTCGGCATCTCCGACCTTTTTCCAGCGCAGCGATTGCTGCATACTGCACAGTGCAACGTGTAACTCGGCAAACACAATGTGCTGTCCTCCCAAAGTAATGACAGTGAAGGCCTTTGGATCCACGACGAATAATTAGTGGCTGACTGTTACCGCCCCCAGTTGATTCTACCTTCCTGGCAGGCTTGTCAAATAAGAGATGACACTAATCACGTTAAAGTGGAATTGGCTAAGGGGATTTCTGCACGCTTTGATCAGAGTAATGACATCGTGTCTAATCAGCCTGATACCGCAGTGTTTTCCTGGGTTGCCTTCACCTTCCTCGCTCTCACTTTTATTAACTTCCTACGTCTGATTTCTGATAAACACCTGAAAGTCTGTCTCAAGATTAGCATTCATACAGAGCAGGGAACTTAAAATGCATCCCTCTCAGCGTGGATAAACAATCTGATGACCTGTGGTTTCAGGACTCCTAATTGTTGCGAACACAGTGTGCTTTCGACACCACTCTCCTATCCCACCTTACTGCTTCCAAAATAATCGAATTAGTGCTGGCAGAGAGTGTAGAAGACAAAGATCTGTCCATAGCACCACTTCAGATATGCACCCTTTCTCAAAAGTAGCCGTAAGCCAGTCAGGGAGATCATATCGAGGTCAAAGGTATTCTGTTAGCATTGGTAGCTACCACTGTGACGTGGAGATATTCCAAAGATAAATGGACATGTCGAAGTGAATGTTTGAATCGCGTAGGAGCTTTGGTGAATTGGGCCTGCCTCTGGCTCTCAGTCCTCATTCACTTGAAATTAGCTTTTTTCAGAGGCCTCTCTCCACTGTAAGATAAGTCCTCGCTATCTCCTTTCCACCCACTGCAACAGACCATTATTTGTTCTAGCTCGTTCTCAAGAGCCCAAAGGATCGCTCCTGTCCAGATTCTGTGTGCTGATACAAATCAAACAAATGATTGCATGCAAATAAGGCGGAGCGTGCAAAAAGAAGAGCTAAAGACTATATTTAGCTCGCGTCACACTCACAGGATGTGATTCATACAGAGGATAAATCTCTGCCGTCCTGCAGCAAGCAGCTGGGCTGCTTTTCCAGGAGGGATTGTATTTTTTTTCCCCGAGCGTTCACACAGGCCTCCCACAGGCGTAATGAATGGAATGATGTGGAAAGCCCACAGCGTTATATTAATTGTTTCGAAATGAGAGCATTCCCACCTTAATTGGGATTTCATCAGAGACAGGTTGGAGGGATCCCATCTTATTTGTCCCGGCATTTGGCATTGACTAGCTTAAACAAAGGTCACTTTAGATGTGGCACATTTGAAGTCAAACCTTAATGGCTGAGTGAAACTCATTGAAACCTTGGAGCACTTGTGATTTCTTTTTTTTGGGGGGATGATTTATATTGAGAAAAGCCAGCTTCAAACCGGAGTTACTGAGAGCTGTCTAAGCTGTCAGCAGCTCAGTTTTATCCTGATCTTTGATTCTTTTGGTTCAGGGAGGAGCTGGATTTGGTTATAAAATGTTTCAGTTTAAGAAATGCCCCGTCATTTTTAATTTAATCCTACCATAAACTGTTCTAGACGAGACACTGAATCCAAAGGCAGTGAGAAACCGTCTTAGGTCGAGTCCTTGCAGAAGCCTGTGATTGCTGGTGATGAAGAGATCACAGGAGTTTTAATAATTGTTTAATGTTCCAGAGATGACATTGAGAATCCATTACATAAAGTGTTCAACAAGAGGGATGTGAAAAGAAAGCATATGTGGGTAAAAAGCGATAAGATATGAAAGGATTACTGATTTAAAAAAAAAATTCCACATAGAAAAACCGGAAAAACATTATGCTTTGACCTTAATAATTTGATTAAGATGGTAAAAAGACAGTTCAAGGATGATCTGAGGAAGGCTGGCCCGGTTCCACTCCGCTCTCTCTCTGCTGTTTTAGTTTCAGGGTGATGGTTTATATCCCGTCGTTAAGAGTCAGTCCACCGGTTCTGCCGGAAAATGGGGTCTCTTTTTCAATTAAGGCTTTTTGTTCCCCACAGGTGGCTGGCGGAGGGGAAGGTTCTCAAGGCCACATAGAGATATTTTCCCTCAACAGGCCCACTCCGAGGGCCGTGAAGAGCCTGCAGATAGACTCTCCCGTTCGGTGTCTGGAATATGCGACAGCCCCGCTGCCAGGCGCCGAGCTGGAGACGGGACTTCACAAGCCTTCTCCGGGGATCGGTACCAACATTTGCGTCGGATTAGACGATGGCCGGTGAGGGACTTTGCATTTCGAGATCAGAACAAAACTCTTCACTTTACACTGCATCCTCTCCTGTGAGACGGTCCCCTGCATCATCTTTTGTCACGCTCCCCGGAGACTTCCAGCTGTATAGATTGTGCTTGTCAATATTTCATCTAAACAAGAAGTCCTAGTTGATGCCCCGGAAAAAACATCGATGTGCCTGCGTGTGCAGAGATCACAGATTCATTTTTAAAACCAATAAACCTCCTGGTTTCCCCATACAGCATAAATCAGAAGGTTTAGAGTATAGATCCTAATGCAGTTACAGTCAAGTGTTGATTTGTTTTTCAGAGAGGGAACAGATAGCAGGCATAGCATAATGGGAAAGTTTATGTTACCCATTATGGGGTAGCTATTTGTGTAATAAGCTAAATAGAGCATCGGTGGATTTTTCATGCAGATTTATTCAGGAAAAATATTCCTTCTAAACATTTGCTGTAATGTTCTGTGCACTGTTTAATCAGGAGACATGCATTTTCCGATGTTGACTGGTGCTGTTCTTTCAGTATTCTGGTGTACGGCAGCGTGGACACTGCAGCACAATGTTTCCTGACTCTCCACAACCCCGAGGGCAGTCCGGTGCTGTGCCTGAAACACTCCTCTCATTTCCTGTTTGCGGGCCTGCGGAACGGGACCGTTATGGTTTATAGAAGGAATAACAGTGGTGAGATACCCCCCATTTTGCTCCATTTCTACACTAATGGATTGGTGATGGTCAGAGGTGACTAATACCTCTCTCCAGCCTGTGGTCTGATCCGACAGGAAAGAATGAGTCATTGCCGTCATAACAATGTCTCCATCTCAATTTGTTTGAAAAGAAAAGTAAAACTAAACTGGAGTTGTTTTCATCCCTAGCCTCCGTTCAACAAAACAGGTACGAAATGCGAGAAAAACACTATGATTTGCAATCGTCTCAAATCAATGTGTTATTTACATTGATTGTAGAGAGCATATTGAACGTTGGAAGGGAGATATTTAAGAAAATATGCATGTCTTATTTTCAATTTGAACAACAGATAAAAAACTGTTGATGGGGCAACGAAAGGCTAAAAGACTTTGGTAGTGACACAACATAACTGAAGAAACAGGATGTAACTAATCATGTTATTTTAAGAAGATCAGTAACATTTTGCATGAAAAGAGCACCTTGGAGAAGCAGAGACTCTCACAAGTAAATATATCAGCAGAAACAAAAATGTCGCATTCATAAATGAGAGAGATGTAGAGAGATTTAACAATAGTGTTCTGTAGAACTGCGATCCTTGTAATATGCCAGCATGTGGCACATGCTATCATCAAACGATTCAGAGACTCTGAGCACGTCCCTGAGTGCACAGCTCTGGTCCTCAAGTGGCACTGCATTAAGATAGGCATGATTATTTCATGAAATCACTGCAAAGGCCCAGGAACAGTTCCAGAAATGTATGCGCAGAGTTTACCATGAGCTCTCCACAAATGTAGGTTAAAACTCTATTATGCAAAGCGGCAGCCATAAGTGAACCTGATCTCGAAACTGTCTGCCTTTGTTCCAAACGAGTCAAAGAGAAAGACTTTTCATTAGTGTTCAGATCTAAAGCTTCTGACTCTATTCATATTTATATATATATATATCTCAGAAAACATGTTTTTCAGAGAACAGACATGAACAGGCCTGCCAGCAGTACAGATTTATGATGTATTCTGAAGCACAAAGTAAGACTAAGAATACCCAGAACTGCTGAGACCCTAAAAGCCTCCTCGTTTCCGAGGCAACATTCTGACCGCGGTCAGTAGAACAGCGGTAAGCATGGCCCAGTCCACACTTTTTTGTGATATCATACTCCCACTAAAAATAAAGATGGCTAACTTTATCCCCGAACATTTTGAAATATCAAATCTTTTCTGTCTTGTGTTAATAAACTGTTGGTTAATGAGATTTGCAAATCATGGCATTATGATTTTTAATGTACTCGTTCAACTATTTTCAAAACTGTGTTGCCTGATGTGGGCTGTTGCGGAGGGTATCCAATTGCCGGCTCACATATGGGGGAAGGTGGAGAATAAAACAAACTTATTTCAAAAGACAGGGGGTCCTGAAATCCCAAAACACAAAGCTGTGCATGGCAGGAGCAGAATGAGAGTGGCATGGGAATGAAAAAGTACGCACAGTGACTAACAATGATGAGGACCCAGCACTGATCAAAGGAACCCTGGTTGTATAGATAGTGAGGGAAGAGAGGACTTATGCAATGCAGGGATGTGTCAGTCAGTAAGCGAGCCGTGGTGGGAAACAAGAAAGTAAGGCTCAACAGGATATAAAAGGAAGGAAGGAAGTTTTTACATACAACCCAAAAAATAAACACTTCTTATAAGGAAAAACACGATAATCCAATTACACAGACGTTAAGATTTCAGTTAGTTATAAATTAGACTTACTGATATATATTGATCATTTAAGGACATGAGATCAACTAACTTTTTGTGTCTTTGTGTTGACATGTACATACATGGTAATCTGACAAATTCTTAATTAAAGCCATTCATCAACACATTAATGTGGCCATATTCAAATAATGAGTACAAATGACTTTTATATCATTTTTTCTTTTAGTTGTAGGTTGACAAAACACCTTTTCTATTCCTGGTAAATTGTTTTCATTCATTTGACGGACAAATAATAGACTAACTTTCTTTTTATTTTCTTTTTTTCTTTCTTATATGATTTATCCTCTCACTTTGAAGTGATTCTGTGAGAATGGCTTTCTCCATTACGCTCTTATTTTTCATTTCCAGTGAGTTTCACACCTGCTGTAAGTTTGAAAATAACACTCCACCATGTGGTGGATGGCACGCCATGTTTAGTCAGGCATTGCACAAGGCCAAAGGGGCTTAACACCATCTCAGCAGAGGCCTGCAGTCTTCACCGCCAGCAGGAGCACAATAGCTCTATCAGTGGGTTCCTTTTACCTGGCCAAAGTATGTCAACGTGCCCGCCTGCCTCCTGCGCTCGCCTCTCCTCCCAGGCAGAGAGGATGATTAATTACACCAAGCTGCCGCATGCTGATTGCGTTTTACTATTCGGGCTTTATAGATATACATGGAAAAAAAGGACAGGAGAAAAGCTCTCGAAGTTGTCGGGGAATGTTTGTGGATTTGGCGCATCGGTTAAAGGTTCATGCCCTTGATGAGCATGCAACTGTCCACAAACTAATCTTTAGCGTCTGGGAAATTCCATGACTTAAACTGTGAAAATGATCCAAAAAGCATTTTCCTACATGCCCGTCATTTTTTTTGCAATAAGCGTGCTCTAACTTTCCTCACAAATAAAAAAAAATGACAAAAAAAAAGCACATCGGACACATCGATCCCTAGGTCAAAGGGGGAAACGATGGCCTTTGTACATGCAGGGGGCTGGAGGGACATTTACAGGAGTGAATTTTGAAAAGGTGTAAAAGTGACCTTTAGAACATGCCAGACAATTAACCTGCGGAAGTCCGAAGGCATTGTAAAGCTGTTCTTCTACAAAAGATGGACATAAACAGCTCAAAATGTTCATTAGATGGCTAAATGCTCCCAGTTCTCCAATTTTGCTTCGTTAACACATTGCAAAAGAGGCGATTCTGAAGTTTCACTTTGTGAAATGTGCTTTTGTTGAAGTTGCAGTCTGGGCCCTGTGATTACAATCCAAACACTAAAGCCCTGATTCATCATCGCATGGATGAAACAATAAAAAGCTGTTTTCAGATAGAGGAAAGCAAGAATACATTAGGGATGTGCGTTAAAGTGCACATCAGGCCTATTAGCAAGGCAGCAAGTGTGTGAATGCTGCACAGCGCAGTGTGTGGTGGCACAGTGTGTGTGTGATTTAAACTGGACACCACTGTATTCAGTCCACTGGTAGTTCAGGTATTATCCCATGGCTCTTTGCTCGTTAGAGGGACAGAAAGCAAACCACCACTGTGAACTCTCTCCATTGTTGCTTTCGATAAATATACACCAAGCTAACTGGATGTGCTATTAGTAGGAGGTATCAAATATAATGGCATCCAAGTGTTAGAGCAGCAGTGGGGGTGCCATTACATAGTTGCTAATATTGATGTGAGCTAGCTAATAAGAATAAAATTCCAATGTTGAGTGAAATGCCTGTCTTTCTGTCCACCAGATGACCTTTGGGAATCCGACTCATGCCGATCTGTAAGCCTGGGCTCAGAACCCATTCGAACTTTGCTGGTGCTGGACGAATCGGTTTGGGCAAGCTGCGGGAACAGCGTTGTGGTTTTGGACGTCTCCACCCTCACACCTCAGGTAACTCAATTTTGCTCGGTGCAGAATGGTGACGTTTAGGTGCAAACAGTAGGCTTTCCTGTCTGAGAAAATTCCCAGAAATGTGCATGCTATGTGTGAGTACTCTTTCTCTGGGGCAGAAATAGAGAAGACCAGAGAATAAGTGAGTAGTTGAGGAACATTACATTCAATGAGGGGGCCCAAATGACAACAAGTACCAAAAGCGAACCAAAAGACGATTAGCTATAAGTTTAGCTTCTTTCAGATTTACTTCAAGTGACCAAAAAAAAGAGTAAGCATCGCCTGTTAAATATTTGTTATTAATTTCAGAAAAGGCTTTGTCCAGTTTTGTAGATCTCGCAGAATCTTCTGAACATGTTAAAAGACTGAGGCCTCTATTCATGAGGCTATTTCAACACCAGTTCACGGGATAAACTATGAGGTCCTGTTTTTTTTGTGTGTGTGTGTTGTTATTGTTGTTTTTTTTATGTTCGTAACATTTGATGAAATTTTCTCCATCAATTTCTGTTAAGATTTATGAACACGGATTTACGAGCCTGTATTCTAATCTGCTATGTCATCAAGATTTACTGCAGCTGGGAACAGCTGCATGGACAATGCATCAGGCCTCTTGTGGAGTCGCACGATGTGTTATGGAGCTGTCATACGGAAATAAGTTACATTTTGTGCGCTGCCAGCGATTATGCAGAAGTGCACAATAGTATCTCCGGAAAATCGACCCCCTACTGCTGTTTGTGTCAGTCTATGCGTTATTTCTCTGGTGGTGTCTTTCTCTGAGGGAGTCCCTCCCTTCGGTGTGTCATTAGAGGTGGAGATCAGGGTGACTACTCCATGGCAGACGATGATGAATGACATAGAATAAACTCATCTGAGTAAAGTAAATACGGTGAACTGCAGCTACATTACCATGTAATTATAGCTCCCAGGTGTGAGTGTGCAGAGCTGTGTAAATGGGTCGAGGTTGAGCGGGAAAGAACCAGGTGCCTTTCCTGGACATGTTAAAGTTAAGGAAATTGAAAAAATACGATGATAGTTTATGCTTCAAACAAACACAGCAAATCTACAAAATATTTTCTGCTACTTAAATGTCCTTTTTTTTAATCTAGTCAACGTGCCACTCCGATTTGACCTCTAATTCTTGTTTCAGGTAACTAAACCTCCACTTGTTTCACACGGGCTCTTGGTAGGGGGGGGGGGGGGGGGGGTCACCATCGTCCTCACTCTCTTTCAGTTCCACCAATTCATCAGACTTTATAATAGATCATTCTCCCTGCTCCGTGCTCCCTACATGGTTCTTTCATTTGACCATTTTAAATTGATTTCCCTACTACCCGAGCGTCCTTTTGCGGTGGCCAATTGGTTTTTGACATTCCTACCTCAACGGTGCCTCCTAAGTGGAAAAAGTCCATTTCAGGCTTTGATATCAAGACATGTAAAATAACATGTAAAATAAAGGTTTTGTCCTCATGTTTAGTATTTATGCTAGAGCCTACACACACATGCATAAAGCCACAGTAGTCAAATAATATATCTTGCAATAAGATGTTGATGTACATATTTTTTATTTCAAATTAAAGCATGAGGAGCAGCTGACAAATCTGCTAAATCACATCAGGGACAGCTGCATATGGAGGCTTGGAATGTCTCCTTGTATTTATTAGAGCTTTCCTCCAAAGAGGTGTGCTTATGCAGCTAAATGGCCAAGTAGCCAAGGCACAGTTCAGGTTCAGGCTACCCCCCACAGAGCTTAACATTTCTGCTCCGGTTAGCTATTCGCAGGCCTTATCTCTCTTCCTAATATGAACCCATGAGGGCAGACATCACTGGACCTGCAGCGAACATCCAGGATCAGGACAAGTAATATTTTTGTACCTGTGAGAGGGGCGACATGATTTGGTTAAAAAAAATACGGGCCCGCTGTTTCAGATTCACTTCACACGTCTCGGCTATTTTCCCGCGTGGATGTTCACCACTTTATGAGATGTTCACATTTTTTTTGGGGGTGTTTCGAATCATTTGTCCAAGACTCTGCTGAATACTGTGCCCCGCTCCATTTCCTCCCTCTGATCCGGCAGACCGCGTCCTGTTACGGGTCTTGAATCTGAAATCTTCGCACGCAGAGCCTCAGCTCCACGGTGTCCTTTAAACATAACCCTTTCAGTCAAGAAAAGAAAGACAACACTCCCCCGCTGTGTCTAAATCGCCATCAGCAGAAGCCCAAGGGATCATCACAGCACGTAAACATTTGTTTTGGCTCTTACACGTCCTCCACACCACCGGGGGTTTCAAGAAAATTACAAAAATCCAACACTACAATTTTTTTTTGAGGGAAGAGGAAGATTAAAATAGTGCTTGAAAATAGTTCTTAAAGACTTTTAGATGCTGCTGTCTTTTTTCACATAGCTCCACACTTCATCTCTGGCGGGTCTTACCACTCACCTTTACTGAGGCGGGCGTCGGTAGGACGTGATTTGGAGGCTCTGCAAAAACAAATGCCTTCCAGGCATATCTCATCATTTGAGAAGCAATCTTGGAGAACTCCTTCATGTGGCCACGTTGGGTTAACAAGACGGGGTCCCTAAATGATTCAGTGTCAGAGAACCATCATCTCTGTGGTCACCGAGGTGTATAATTTGCATTTAAAAAGACAAGAAAATCTATCTGTGATAGTAAGTCACTTTGTTCAAAGAACAAGGTTCAGAGATCCTGAATTGTTTGTTTTTCTCCCCACCATTATTCTTCTATTTGCAAAGCATATTAGGGTTTTTTTTCCCATAACAGCAGATGTATGGGGCTCCATTCAGAGAGCTTTTACTGGATAGATGCTTAGATTCTCCTCTTCCATACGGATTTAAGGCAACAACTTGGGGTAAAGTCCTTCTTCACCCCCTATCTGAACAGCTGACACTGTGTTACACAAGTGGTGAGATGATGCCTGTAAACAGTTTGCAAACAGTTTGCATCATTCTGTGTTTTGTCAAACATGCAAACATTTCAGAAAGGCCTCCTCGCGGGTCATCATGTCCCATTCAGATGAGGCAGCTCCATCCCTCTCAGCCAGAAATTTGACTTCAGAATTTTGCTCTCTATGTCAACCTTTTACAAAACGGGGAAATATCGACTGAGAGTTAAAATGGAACCTTGTGCAGAGTTTTTTTTTTTGCTTTTCCCTCTGGAGCGACAGACGGAGAACATGTGGCTTCATTTCTAAAGGGGCAGTTTACAAAGAAAACAATTACACATTTGCAGTAAGCGATGCCTTAGAGGACTGTTTTGTGGCTGAACGGTGTCTCACACAAGCCATTTATTTTCCTCTTATTTGGAAAAATGATCTTGGGACATTTTCACTGAAATGATGGCAGCTATATTCTACCAACCCCCCGACACCATGGGACCCTAAATAAGTGAATGTTGCCACCTCTGTGCGGCATGTGTTTTAAAACTGACTCACCCCCAACAAAAAAAACATTGCTTGCCATTGCAGTAGCAAAAAACGAGCAATAAACCCCTATTTATATTCTCATCAGACCGACTGAAAGGGTTGAGTAGCAGCAGGAATTGAGAAGCACCGCCGGATTCTGAAACGGCTTAATTAAGAGAAAATTAAGGAAATCTCAAACAATCAAGTGAAATGTTCTTTCTGAATAAAGTCAAGCAGCGGGGGTTGATTTGGAGGTGATAATAATGGAGCGCTCGCTTCGTTTTCTTCTTCCGGCACACACGTCTGCGTTCCAAATCTCCACAAACTCCGACGCTCCGTGGAGGCCTTATTTGTTCACCGCAGCGCGACCTTAACAAAGCAGAACATGCATGGACCCACAGGCTTTGATCAATACTGACTGGCTAGGCTTGTTCTTTTCCTTTTCCTCTCACTATTTTTTTTTTTACTCTTCCCGGTTTCGCCTGTCACTCAGCTGTCCACTCGACTCCCACGCCCTCGGGGTAGAGATGTGGACTTAGCTCTCGGTAAAGGACACGGACACCCTGTCACCTGGTGTAATGAAGGACTAATGAGCTGTTCAGAACAGCCGTAGTGTTTGTGACTCCGGCTCTGATGTTATTTCCCACCGGTGGAGGTGGACCATAGGAAGGATGTAGCTGTTAGTGTGACAATGCCGGTTGGAGTGGAAAGAGCACATTACTACTGTCAGGCTTCACTGAATACCTCATCTTTGAAAGCAATGCTGGATTCAGTGGACTAATACCGGGTTTGTCCCTCATCCTCATCCCCGTGTTGAGAGCTTTTTTTGGTTTCAGGCCTTCAGCACAATCCGTCTGTATTATATCTACGTCAAAACATATTTTGGGAATTCTGCTTGACGGGGCAGTGCGTATTACAAACTGAAGTTTATGTTTGTTTTTTCTTCATCGCAGCGGAAAGATTTCCATGAGATTGAGGACCCAGACTCCCTTATTTCCTTCCATATGAAGCCTTTGTGATATATTGTTCTTACTACACCAGATTGTCTTCGAGTTGTTCTTAACATATGGCTCGCAAGATGGTATTCAGCAACAACAGCATGTCAGCCATTGATTAGCCGAATGTCCCTTTCAGCATCAGGATGCTTGATAATGGTTAATGTAGTAATTATGCAACATATAGAATAAATTCAAACAGTGTTTTCTGCAAAAACTTGTCAAGACAGCTGATTGGGAAATGGGTTATTAGAGGTCAAAATTTCTTTTTTTATTATGTATATTAGATTTTTTTTTTTATGGATGCAAAAACAATGAGATGCAATACGTGTAGTGTTATAGACCCCACTGCTGGAGAGTCAATTAAAACAGAAAACACATCAAAGGCTTCTTTCCTTTCCCTAATTTCAAACAAAGGAGGGCCCACTGGCAAGGGCACAGGAACAGGTGGTAATCCCTGTCTGCCGGGGCTCCTGGGTTTGGGGTGGGTGGCGCTTTCTCATCCTCACTCCGTCACTCACGGACTAATTGCCTGGTTTCATGCACCTTGTGCATTGACAGCGATATGAGTTCCAAGATTATGCCCAAACCAACCCTTGTCACGCCTCAGACCCCAGGGGATGCATGTGTTGCTATGATAAGGCTCATTGCTTTTATTTCAAGCAACTCATTAAGACTGGGTGCCCTGAAACTCTTCCTCCATTGTGCTCTTGGAGGGAGAGCGATGCAGAGAAAACATGCTCCGTGAGTCTGTGTGAATTTGGGGGGGGGGTAATTTGCTAAATTAGCAAGGGCATTTAGACTTAATTTATTAAAGCGAGTTTAGCGCAAAACCTAAAATTACAATTCAAGTGGCCTCAGCTGACCTCGTAACGCCACAGTTGAATGCCACATGAGAAGAATAAAATAGGTTTTTATGTTCATAAGAAAAGCTTTGTTGTTAGCAGAGAGCTTTGAATAATGAGGGTATTTTTTGCGTCCGATTTATTTTTAGAGCTGATACGTACAGTACCAGTGGTGTGGTTGTTGCTGAACTTAGAACAGAACAAATTAGAAGTCTTGGCTAAGAGACACTAAATCATTTTCTTTTATGTAAAGCGCAAACGTCAGGCTGGAGAACATGTGGGGAAAAAGTTCTGGGACGTATCATAGAGAGGATTTTTACATTTTTAGTCATTCATTTTTTGTAAATGTCTGTTTTTCAGTGATGTAGGCAATTTTTTCTTCTTAACGGGATGATTGTGTGTTGCAGAAATTCGAAGTCCATCCAGACCCGCTGGTCAGTGTGGCGCACATGGCGTGTGCGGGCGGAGGGGTGTGGATGGCGTTCTCAGAGGGTTCCTCCATCCGCCTCTTTCACACGGAAACACTGGAGCTTCTTCAGGAAATCAACATCTCAACGCGCTCGACGCTGCTGAACACCGGTACGCACACGCCACACACCACGTCCCTTTAGGTGGAACCCAACCTCCACGCGATCAGGTCCTTTTACCTTTTATCGAAACAAAATGTCAGACTTCTCCTCACGGTGCAATAATAATAATAAGCGGAAAAGTTCTTATTATCTGTGTGATTATTACTGTCATCTTTTCATTGGTATGTTCTTTTAATCTTGGTTGAATGAAGATGAAACTCTTTCCTCAGAGGAATGGTGCTCTTTGGGTCTTGCACTGCTGGATGTGATCTGCATGAGTATCCTTGTCAAGGCTGTCCACAGCCATACGAGAGCCATAAAGTATTGTGAAGAGGGGGAACAAATAAAATAAAATAACAGCGGCAAAGAAAAGAGATGATGTGAAATGGTAAGGTTTTTAGGAGCAGTGAAATCAAAACTGAAAGACTTTCACACAAAGGATTTCCATGGAAACATTCCTGCGTTTATTTCAATATAATCTATCTTTGGTTACGTGAGCAGTTTGATTTTTTTTCTCTATGCATTTCTCACCGTCTGTTCTTTTTTGGAATTTATATTTTGCTTCCTTTTGTGCGTTTTTTTTTCCCCTCGTCCGCTTTTGCTTCAAAATTGTCTCAACCTCATTTCACTTTACGCGGAAGTCCATTTAGGATTCCACAGATGGCAAACTACATTTTGTGTGCCTCTCTTCATGATGGATGAAATATTTAACAGCAAGTGGGGGTGCTTCTCTCTCTGAGGCAGACAGTGGTAACTAAGAAGCTCCTGATCACACCTTTAATGTCTGTATGTGTAACTCAGTGTCAGCACTCAAACAACACCAGTCCAGACATATGACAGAAATACACTATATACTAATGACATTTTGGCCTTCAAGAAGAAGCATTGAATGCATCTTGATTAAAAACCTGATGTCGATAAGATATATTCAAAGCTGTGGCAGCACTCGGATTTATCAGAGAAAAGGAAAAGGGGTTTCAGAATAACAATAGCCCTTTGTTTTCCTCTTTTCGATCAAAGACTGTTTTTTTTTCTTTTCCGTCAGTGAGGAAACTTTAAGCAGAACTGAATTCTACAGCCTTGGTATCAGGAGAAAACCAGTGACCCAGAGGTCATTTTATGCCCAGCGCCAGTGCTCCCCCCTTGAAATATGCAGCAGATTGAGGAAGGGTGGCTGCCTTGAGGCCTGGCCCTCAGGGAAGGTATAGAGTGTTAAAAAGGGTTTCAGGGCTCGTGTCTTTGGGGCCTAGAAAAAGAAGCGGATCTTTGACTTAAGTTGTGATTTGTCGAGCTCATGTGGGAAAAGACGATCCCCTGCCACTCCACAACCACAGATACTGCACATGAAATTTGGATAGTTTCAAAACCCATCAGTGGGTCTTTGCTCCCTTAGGTTTCTCCTTGACTTCTGCGAGGACGAACAATAATGATATACCCCATAATCATCTCCCATTAATGTGATTTACACTCAACGGGGAATTCCAGTTGCAGTAAACAACAGAGAAAATGGCTGTTTTTCTCCCCCCACTAATGCCTTTAATAGTTCTCTCCTTAGGGTAGAAAATTATCTTCTAAAATAAAGTCCTGAGTGACACGTCGCGGGGAGACGTGGTATCTTTCCAGACATCATCTTTGTTTAAAGCGAAAGCAGCCTCTACAGTAAACTCATTCCACAGGGCAGAGTATGTATATTTCTGTAAATACTGAAGGTGCAAGATTGCCTGAGGGCAGCTGTGCCTCCCTAATCCCGGGTGCCTTGGTTATCATGACGCCTCTCTATCGCTGCTTTAAAGACAAAGCTCGGTTCCCCTCCTTCACGGTAACCTTAGAATGGGTTTTCAGGACTCTCAGTTAAGCCGTCACACCAAAGAAACAGACGGTCGGGTCCGTGAGCCTCAGATGTTTGACTGTTCCCGGTTTTCCCCGTATACCCAGCGTCGGGCCCGGGATGAATGGTCTCCACATCATAATAATGAGTTAATTAATGACACCGTTGAGCCATTCATGCAAATCATCATAATCTGAGCACGACACAGAACAAACATGTAAATACATCTGCACATGTAAATGAGCGTTCTCTTAGTCGTGTTCGAATGAGTTGCGGTGTAATTCAATTATGGGGTTCTGTGGATATTATGGTAAATGGCTCTATAGATAACTAGGCCACAGAGGAAGCCAAAAGCTGCGGGACTTCACAAGGAACGCGACAAATAAACCCACATCGAGCAATGATATTTTTACCCCTTTTGTTAACTGGAAACAAAGGATTGCGCTTGTATAATGTGAGTCAGTAATTATCCTCTGCCATCGCTAATGCGGGGCAACAATAACAGGTCTGTGATTATGAAAAACAGCTGAGAACGAGAAGTCTCCTCTCTCAAGTCACACTCCATAACACGATGTTTAAAGTTAGCGTGGGCCAAAGAGAATGAGCGGTAGATAACATCCTCGGTTTTGAGAAAAATACTGCACAGAAAACATTATTATCAGCGCCGTCTTTCCAAAACCAACCGCTTTCTTATCAGACGTCTCTTGATTTTCTACCTTGTTTAATATTTTAATGACATCTTTATCTTGCTAATTTTTGCTGATATGTTTTATTTAATAGAACACGATAAGGATTCTCCAATCTCTTGTCCCATTATAGTGAAGTAGACTGGAATTAGGTGGGGAATACTTTTTAAACCAGTTGGCAGGCCGTGTTTTATTATGTTGATATATTCAAACCTCGAGTGTGTAAGTTTTTTTGTGCAATTCTGCTGAATTAGTTTCAAGATGATACTCGTGTCTATGGTTCCATTAGCGCTGCATTGTATTTTAAAAAATGTATTCATTACCTTCGAATGAGCTATATTTAGAGAGTTATCGCCCCTCTGTTGTGTTGCTCCAGCTCATTACTCTTACAGTATCACACCTTTAGTATAATTATGAGTATAAACTTATTATTACTTTTATACACTGACTATATAATTACTAATCTATACAATCCAAACTCATTATTTTCCCTGCAGCCACTTTTGCTAGGAAGTAGATGAAAGTTATTAAGTTATGAAGTTACCAGATAAGCGCTGGTCCTTAGCTTTGTTTATTTTCAGATCCTTTTTGTTATTTTTAAGGTCCATAGCTGGCATTTCGATTTTTTTTTTTTCACTTAAGGCAGTTGTTGCCAATGCTTGGACAGCAACCATTCCTGCAGGATTAGCTGCCATTGATTTAGGATTTCCGTCATCTAAAGGCACGTGCGCGTGCATCTGTATTTGCAGCTCAGTCGATAGAAAAATCTCAAACTCAAAATGCCCGGGATTGATATCCTGTCATGGCCTTGATGTTCTGAAGCATTAACACACAGCTAGGAAGAGGTGAGCGAGTCTGTGGGACCGTTTGATTTGGCTGGAATGGTGATCTAATAAGAGCTAAACATTACGTCCGGCTCCAAATTTGATGTGGAAATAAACGTCTTTTCACATAGTCACATACTAAGAGACATACCTGATGTGCCAAATTCTAAGCTTCTTGCTATTTAAAACAGCCATATAAGCATATTTTTAAACCAAATTGTATCTGCATAGTTTTTTATTCTCCTAATGATGAAACATTAATGAATGAATTATTCTATTCCTATTATTACTTTATTTTTGGGGGGCACTGATATCTGAAGAGTGGCATGTTTACTGTGTGTGATTTGACTGTACGGCTTCTCAGGGTTTCATCTGATCGCCTGCTTGGTTAGAATTTTGGCTCACGGGGTTGCTCCTCGTTGAAGTGTATCAAATGCGTTAAGGACGCCCATCACTCAAATGAATTGAAGATCGTTTTCTCGCACAATGATGTTTTTCCCCCTTCCTGTCATCAAACACGAATGTCAAACTGTTTTCATGTTGAAAGAAAATGGAAAAGGGATTTGAGGAAGTCAGGATGAAACGAAATGGGTGAGACCATCACAAAAAATTGCTTCATAAAGCGCATCTGTGTGAACTTTAGGTTGACTTTTCCTCAATTTAGCAGATGAAAAAGCCCCTTCCCTCGCGTTCACGGCGGTAGGTTTTCGGTGAGGCACGATTTAGTGCTTGTGAAAGAGATATCAGGGACTTTCTCCCCCCTCCGTGATCAACTCTAGATGCTGCAGAACCGATGCAGTGCTGCAAGGACTGTTTGCTCTTCTCTGTTTTTGCAAGCAATCTAGCAACAGAATAGTAGATAAGTTGAGGGGTCTCAGCAGACTGTAGACCAGTAAAGAATGTATGACCCCAGGCTGTCTTTTTCTTCTTTTTCTAAAAAGCACAAATCAGATTTTTAGCTCCCTGGTGGCTGAGGATTGGCTGCTTCCTGACAGAGTTTCCAGATCAACCACAGCCATTATATCCACTTTTCTTAATCCAGTTAAAGCCTACCACATATCTTTTCATAAAAATAAAAAAATCTACGTAAAACCTTTTCTTCCTCGTTCTCATGGAGTTTTTGAAAGTTATATGTTCATTTATTGAGCATTTACTGACATAATGAGATGCTAGACAGATCTAGCATATCCAACACAGATCACGACTGCGTGCGTCGCTTTTGGAGCTGTTGTCACCTGGAGAGAGCATGAAACAGCGAGCCCAGCAGAGGGCCCGCCGCCTCCCCTGGGCAACGCCGGCGTTGTGTTGTGTTTCTCTGACACATGTTCCCGAAGACAAACACCTGCGAAGCATCGAGTGGAAACGTTAAAGCCCAGCCTTTCAGAAGCTCCTCAAAGCTCAGACAAAACCCCCAAAACAAGAGGAAGTAACAAGTTCACAGTCTCCTGTTTCTGATATTGTGCATCTATGAGGCTTCACTTTAACCACCAACACACGGACAAGTACCGTAGTTTATTCTTTTTCATCGAACTTGAACACTGGATTAGGGCCGGGGTGTCATTTTGTCTGTTAGAATCAGAATCAGAATCAGAATCAGAATCAGAATCAGATTTATTGCCAAGTAGGTTTTTAGACTTACAAGGAATTTGCCTTGGTGTTAGGTGCACAACACAACACTTCTATGAGAAGCAAGAGATAAAATGTAGAAATTAAAAATATAGGACGGGAATGATAAAACTGAAAAATACAATCTTTAAAAATATAGATCCGAATGTACAAATGAACAAGCTTTAAAAATATAGATCTGAATGTACAAATGAACAATTGAAATGTGTAATGTTGATCTGCAACAGTGTTGTTTACTGTCAATGGGATGGACAAAGAAAACTAAATTTTCTCAAAATGTATTCTCTGTTGCAGGTCAAAAGAACATACGGGTCACGAGCCTCCTAACTTGCCAAGGTCTGCTGTGGGTGGGCACAGCCCAAGGCTTCATTATCACTCTTCCAGTTCCCAAATTGGAAGGCATCCCCAAAATAACAGGTATGGCTGAGCGGAATCTTGGGGTCAAATGACTCCGTGAATCAGTACAAATGTCATCGGGCAGGCAAATCGAATCACAGTTTATTCTTTCAGCATAATTTCAAACGGCCTGGCAGAGTTTTGTTTATCGTGCCAAGTGAATGAGGTCATTAGTTTCCCACTTGCTCAACCTTCACTGCAGGGCCACCTTATTGCACGCCAGTTTATTGAATAATATGTAAATGTCCCACCAACTATGACTTGCATTATTCCTGGAAATATATCCTTTCAAACTGTGGATGACACATGGCAGAGACTAGGTTCAAAGAAATGTCTTTCTTGTACAATGCGACTTGCGTAACGGTCTCACTGAACCTGGGACGGACAAAGACTCGGTCCCAGGACTTCAGGAGAGCAGTGTCTTGTTTTTTTTTTACTGTTGTGTTTGCCTTTTTTTATTTTCCCACAGGAAAGGGAATGGTCTCTCTGAATGCCCACTGCGGGCCCGTGGACTTCCTGGTGGCCACCACCAGCACGCTGTCCCCCGATCTGCTGAAGAGGGACTCGGTGGTGGACGGGCCGGACTCGGCCTGCGGGGGGGAGGACCGCAGCGACTCCTCCTCCCAGGAGTCCCTGCAGCAGCCCGGCTCCGCCAAGGCGGAGGAGAGAGGCCGGGGCCGCGGCGTCCTGCTGCAGTACAAGCTGCGCTCCACCTCGGGGCTCCCCGGGCGCCCGCTGACCGCCACGGGCGACGAGGCGTCCGACTCCTCCATGGAGTCCCTGGAGCACAGCGTGGAGGACGGCTCCATCTACGAGCTCAGCGACGACCCGGAGACCTGGGTGCGGGGGAGGTCCGCCGAGAGGGACGGCCCCCGCAGGGACCGGGTCATCTCCGCCGCCGTGCTGTCCGGAGGAAAGGGCTTCCGCCGGCTCAGAGAAGGAGCCGCGTCCGGCCAGAGGTCCAGCGGGGACTGTTCAGAAAATACTCTCATGGTGTGGCAGCTCCCACTGACGGTGTGACGAGGAAAAAAAACATCCCGGGGTGATGCGCGTCTGTAGATCCTGTACGCCCGTCACCTATATCAGTTTAGCCCCAAGTCACCCGCTTAATTAAAGAGATCTGACCACACGGCGAGCAGGCGTAGCTCAGCATCGTGTCGTCCAGCCTGCTGAAAATAGAGGCCGAGGCGGGCTGTTCTCGACTGGCCATGTTAGCCCAAAAGCATGCCTTGATTGTTCAAGATTACGAGTCATCATCTTCCCCAGCAGTGACAAGAGGTCGCCGCAGATTAGTTCCATGTCATCATCCCGATCCGGCTCCTTTTCTGGCCTTAGTTAAGACGGATACGCCTCACTTTGACCTCATCAAGGCAGCGTGTGTGCGCCGGCACATTTATTTTATGCAAAAAGGACTTCCGTGCGCGCACCCATAGACAACGCGCGCCTTTTGAGAGAAAGCCTTTGTTGTATCCGCCATGCTCCGCAGAGTTAAAAATGGACGCCTTTCTCTCTGATCCAGTGGGAGAGATCCCATCTGTTCAGAGCTAAAAAAGCCGGGGACAACCATTGCATCACAAAGCACATTAGCCTCACTTTATTAGCTTCGCCTGTCTCCTTCTCATCCCATAAAATGTGAACGTACGAAACATTTCTACTGTGTCTCCAAAACTGAATCTGTGCTTCTCGAAAAAACTGTCGTTTTGAATGTTTTATTACAGTATTTTGAAGGTGGAAAAAAATGTATTTGGTACAAAATTTAGCTGCGAAGAGCTTTTCGTGCCAGGTCAAGGTGGTCCAGTTAGAACAGAATGGCTGCAAGAGTATTTCAAACAAACCGATTTGAAAAAAATAAAATAACATTGCACTTTAGATCTACTGCAATTATTACAGAATTATTTGATAAGTGCATTCCGTCCCAAAGACTGCGGTTGTCCAATATGTCCTTCGGCATTTCTCCTCATTCATCAGCTAAATAAAACATCGACTTGTTGATTGTTCACCACCATTAGCTGGGAAGCAAAGTCACATTTGAAAAGCAGATGAGAAGAAATGAAAGAGCCGCAGTCACCTTAGGAACTGATGGCCAGATGTACAGAGGCTACACCTGCACATTTAGCCTGAATGTTCAAAAACATCGAAAATAATCCCGATTTCATGCTACTATATGAGAAACCATGTTTAATGCAGGCTAAATTCTACTCGTGTTCTTAGTCAAAGATTGCATAGCTTGTTTTGAAACTGCTCCAAAATAGAAAATAATAATGATAATGATATAATATGCACCTTAAATATGATAGGTGCAGTTTGTTCTTGTTTTTTTAACTCACTAAAGTACCTTATCGTAACCCCACAGCTTCATATATACGTCTTGTCAAAGATGGTATGAGAGGCATAGTTTTTAAAAAGGTGTCCCTTCCACATATCTTCATAGTAAGTTGTTGGCATTAACAGGTTAGCATACATGAAGTATTAACCCTGGCATCGGGCGGTACATTCCTTACATGTTTCACAGCGCAGACAACACAATTATATGATGTGGATTTTCAATAAACGTACTTATGCTCAAAGTTCCAGTACAGATTTTTGTCTACCTCTATTCCGTTTGATGTTTTTAACTCAGATCCATCACTGTTCTGTACCCTCTTCACAAAACCTGACTTCCTATGTGTAATTCTTTAATCATCCTTCTCTTTACAAGAGAAACTCAGAAAGAATTGACCGTCATGTCGAGCAGAATGCATCAAAAAAAGCAAATTGGTGACAATTTCTGATCTTCTTGTTAATGTACACCTTAATCTATGTGAGATTTGTCTGTTTTGTGGGGTTTTTATGTTTGCTTTTGGGTTTTTTTGCCTGCATTTGGCAATAAATATTAACAGTGCAGAAATTAAATGAACGAGAAAAATAAATTGAAAAAAAATCTCAATTTATCCCAGAGGGAAAATAATGAGAAATTACAGTTGAAGGAAGCATAGCAACAATCCGAACACAGAATACTGGAATAAGGTAGGCATGTGCTGTTAACCTTTTGGCTGCGGTGATTGTGTCCTCAGCTTAAGAGGACGAGCGTTTATTTCTGCCTGTGTCGCCTGATGAAGAAAAACGTACCTAATTATTTCACTGTTGAGGCATTTCTACTAAGAATATGTCACTACCGTACCAGCTATTACTGATTGGATCTCGTTAACTGACTTTGATGGACACTGATTTGTACATTTAATTTATTGGCAATAGATGCTTGTAATCACTATCCATGTACTGAATATTATTCCCTGGAAAGAGAAAGTACTGTACTACCAGCTGAAGCACTGTCGTGCTAAATAAACTTATAACCAGTTTCATGATTTCAGGAAGAGTACCGACATGTTTTTTGCTTTTTTAGGTGAGTCTTTATTTCACATTTACTCTTTTTCCTTTCTATCGTCACAGTGCACATACATCTCTATGGGACGACGTACACTTTTCATTTCTCACTTGCGTTAAGTGGGCCACAAATGCTGATGAGTGGGAGGAAGGGGATGGTGGAAGGTGTTAACCCACATGCTCCGGTCACTCTCCGAACACCTGTACCGCACAACGCTTTCCACAGTAATGGCCTTTTCTCTGCTCCTCTCGATCACATGACTCTCTCTCACCCACAAATAGGCTGGCCGAGGCATTAAAAGCACACGCTCAGGTAAAAATGAACGCAAAATGAGGTATTTCCAACAAATCTGCATGGATCTGGCTTATTTGTTTAATTGGCGGAAAACAACAGGTCAAACATATTTTTTTAATACCACACATTACATGCAAAGATTATGACCGGTGGTCAGATTCTTGCACACTTTTTCTAGTTGGACCGGACCGAGGCATCAGGCCACTGGCGAGGTTAGGAGTCCACAGTTCCACCATGCTTGTTACAGCCGTGCACACACACACAAATGTTTTATATATGGAAAAAAAATAACGAAGCACTGAAACCAATTTAAGATACATCCACCCTGCTCTAACCCCTTTTCGCAGACTATTTTCATTCTCATTTAATGTGGTGGGTAAAATGTTATATCCATTAAAAAACTGTGATAATATCTGCAAAGGCTGTGGGAAAAGTTAACCTCCCCCCCAGAATTCTTGTGATACTAATAGGAATTAGCGGCATAGACAATGGATGAATGTTTAATATGTTTTCTAAGTAAAGTACTGATTTAAAAGTGAACCTTTAATGATGGGTTTGACCTCATCTTTCGGTAATGTTTGTAGCATAAAGTCGGTCAAAGGTGCCGTGGTTCTGATGATGTATCTTCACCAGTCTCATGTGTTACATTTCCTCAGAGTCTCAGCAGACGAATATTTTGTATTTGATCTCAGAGTTTATGCGGCTGTGTCTGTTTTTTTTTTTCTGAGTCTGGTCATTCAAATTTAATAAGCCCTCCCTCTACATCTGCCGAAAATTAGGGGACACAATGAAAATTATTCGGAAAGCAAAATCTGACACAAAATAATTTATTTTGCCCCCGGGCGGTTTCCTATCTTCAATACTTTGCCCAGTGGAATTCCCAGCATGGGTGAGCAGGAATTAATGACCCAAAAACATCACAAATAACGCACACATGGCACGCGCACACAATAAAAAATGAGTAAGAAATATAATAAATTTGCTCAGATTAGCATTTTTTGGCAAATGTAGGTACAGTATCAGACAGCGTTTCACCTTTGGGTAAAACGAGTCCCGTCCCTTATGTATTTATAGTGCCAGAAGTTTAAATGGCTACCGGCACGCTGCTATTTAAAGGATGCACAAGCATGCTCGAACTGCAGGTGGATTCACTCTGGGGACACTCTTTCTCCATCCCTCTCTCTTCTCACAGTGGACGGCAGGAAAAAGCGTACGTTGGGGATACGAATCCAAAATATGCCATGAAAGGAAATTAGGTACTGGGCTCTTTCCTCACGGCCAATCATAAGGGTCAAAACGGGCCGTCGCCTTTTCACCTCTGGGTATTATTAATAGTCTCTCCTCCGTAGCGACTCCACGTGGAGCAGTCAGGCCACATGAAGGCCCCCTCCGGCCCTGACAATGTCAGATAAAGGGGGCAAAAGTGGAGGGAGAACGGGGCTGTGGAGTGAGCCTCGACAGTAGCGACGGGAAATTAGCATGAAAGGTCAATGCTTAAATAAACCGTAAAAAGATGGGCTAATCGAGAGGACTCAGATGAAGGTTCAGGTTTGTAGAGAAACATTTAGATAATCACGGGACAGCCACTCGAGGCTTTTAAAACATTTTGCCGCTTTAAGTGCATCAGTTCAGGTTGTCTACGAGACGTGATTCAATCTAAGCGGGATTTGAGATTCAATTTGTTGGGGGATCTTCATCGGATTTGATTTTTATTTACCTTACAAAACGGTAAAAGAACGAGAAAATATCACATTTTCTGCCATTGTGATGTTTTTTTTGTTCTCCATCTCTGTGGATGCAGAGATTTTACTTTCTTACTTACTTTTTTTAACGTTTACTTTCATTCCAGTTTCGCCGCAGGCTCCAATTTACCCCAAAACATTTTTTTGGGGCTGATAGATATTATCGCGGGAGCACTCCCGATTCATAGACATCCGGCGGCACAGAAAGCATAAATCAACTTCCAGAAAGGGGGTCCACGCAACCTGAAACAAGGATCGAGAGCATAATGCTGATTTGACAAAGCACTTTGTCAATGGCTGCTTGTGCCGGGTCAGCAGCAGAGCGACAAAAAACCAAAGGACAAAAAACGGGAAAAGGCCAGAGCGTCCGAGTGTCAACGCTCAAAAACACCGTAGGGGAACAAATAACGCGTGCTTATTTCTGTTGGGACTGCGCAGTCATCTCTTTTTTTTGCACCTTTCTATAGATATTTTATGCCAATTAACCCAGCTCCAGGGAAAGATTCTCATATCTCCAGCTCCAGCTTTTGCGGCCTTCCCCTTGCGTCTCAGGTATGATTTGCATGCCTCGGTCAGGGCTAAACTGAAGCGGATGAAGCGTTGCGGGTTTGAAGGTCCCC